TGAGGGGAACAACTAGACACCGACCCTACATAAGCAAACCACATTCTTTGACCTCTAATAATATATTTTTAGTAGAAGCTTCCTTATTTACAGAATTTAGGCATTATTGAGTCTCTAATTCTATCCATCAAATGCAATATCTTGACAGTTAGGGTTTACTTGGCTGAATTCTAAAATAAAAGAACATAATACATTTTAGAACCTAAACAAGTATTTTCTACATCCCATCTTGTGTGAGGGTGTGTGGGAGGGTCCTGAGTACCGGGATCGAGTCCAAGGTGTTCACACTGAGACACATCTTCAGCGCTTTTTCCTTTTTATTTTGAGACAAGATCTTCCTAAGTTGTTTCAGCTGCACTCAAGCAACTTGTGATCCTCTTGCCTCAGTCTCCCAATGTGCCTCTCCCCTCTCACTGGTAAGTGAAGGCGGGAAGTGAGTCTTGCAATTTGGATTGAGCTTTACTTGGGCCAGCAAGGAACATGAAAACAGACAGGCTAAGTTTCAAAATCTATCCATTGCATATTCCACCAACTATGTTGAACAAACTACATTACTTTTCCATTTCCTTAAAATGACAATAACCTCCCTACCATGCAAGGCTTTATGACAATCAAATGCCATGACTGACAGTGTGCCTAGGCTTACTGAACAAATCCAAGTCTCCTGGTGCAACTTTATCTTGATGAGGGACACTCAGAACTCCCATATGTGATTTTCCCCTAATAAGAGCCCATCCATCCTCTTCTAAAATTTTTTCCCTCTGTGCAAGTCACATCTCCCCTAAGCCTGAATTCTGCATTTCAGTGGGTCTCAACTCCACATCTGACTTTCTGTCTCCAGGTAGATATGCAGCTGCCTGCTCTGAGTACTGTCATCTTCTGTGTTCTTCATGAGCCAGGTCCTTCCAATTCCATCCCTGGACAGGCAGGGAAGAGTCAGGTTGGCAGGTGGGACTTCTGGGCTATGAGGTTAAAGGTTAAAGCTTGGTGTGTCCACCACTGCCACCAGATGAGGGAAAGCCTTCCTAGAATGTCATCAACATAGAGAAGACAAAAAGTCAGCTCTTCTTAATCCTAACCCTCCTGTTAGTCAGTTGACACTCCACACATTCTTAGGCGCAAGAACCTGCACCTGATCATTGATCTGGGGACCAATTTAAATAACATTTACAAAATGCTTAGCACCAAGCATGACTGCTAGGCAAAGCTTAAAAAATGGTACTGGTTGCCAAAGACATGGAATGCGAAATCAGGGCAGTGATGCACTAATGGTAATGCTGTGCTGAGTTGAATCCTTATTACACCTTACGCCAGTTCTCTAATATTCTGAACTCTTCAGAGAAAGTTCATATAAAAATAGTTCTGGAAGATTTGTTTATTTATTTTCCTTTATGTATTTGGTACAGAGTCTCACTGCACAGCTCTGACTCATAATGATCCTCCTCTTTTTAGCCTCCTCAGCACTGGGATTACAGGAGTGCGCCACCAAGCCTGGACTCATTTGCCAGTTCAGCAGGCAGGGCTGGCGCAGCATGTGGCATCTGGGCATGGAACCCTGGCCTCTGCACTGGTAGTTTTAATAGCAATCACTGGGATAAGATGTGAATAAGCTGTTCCCTGCCATAATTATTTTGCAATTACTTTTGATTGTTTCCAGGGTTGGCACGACTATTGCCACCCAAGGCTGAGTTATAATTCTGATGTGTGCTAGGTGATATGGAACAGGTATTATTCTGTACTTATTTTCTCTGTGGAAAATGTTATATCTTTACTCCCAGCCACTGAATGACTCAGCTAGAGAAGTCCCTGTCAGCCTCCACACCTCCACAGCCAGTGTCCTGGCAGAAATGATTAAGGGGGGCTTCTTCAGGTCAGCTGGAAGAAAAATTGAAGTCTTACAGATCCTGTGTAATTTGAAGCAACGGGCTTCCAGGACTGACTGCTACCTACACTTCCACTGACAACCTCGCTTTCAGTCCTCAGAAGTAGCTGTGTGCGAAAAAGCTCAGATCATGTGGGAAGATACCAAGCAGGTTGTTTCTTTTCTTTTCTTTTTTTTTAAATCAATGGACACGGCCCTGTGTCATTGCCAAGGTCTTACTCCTTCTCTGGAAAAGCCTAGCATGCTTGAGGAATTTGTGGGGTGCTGCTGGCCATGTCCAATAGCAGAGATGGTAGAGAGGCCCGGAAGCCAGCGAGGCTTGGAGTTTTCACTACTCATCTGCCTACGTGGACTCCACTCCTAGGGCTCACAGCTTCATTCCAGAAAAGAAAGTCCCAGAGGCTGAGGCAGCAGTGTCTATTGACTTAGTAGAATATGTACTTTGGAAACAAATAACTTGCATTTAAATCATGGCTCTTGAATTTTTTACCTGTGTGACTGGTCAAATTACCCAGCATCTCTGTGCCATGTATTTCTCATCCACTAATGATGTTATTGAAGAACTTCTTTATAAAGGCATTAGGAGGATAAAATAGAATAAGTCTGAATAGTGCTTATCACAGTGCCAGGGCTTGAATGAGAAAGATGTGTTTCTCCCAAAGGTAAATATAGGAAGACATTTTAGACAACAGATTAATTAGATTTTTTATATAGTGATGTGCAATATACTTTGACAAAGATGCTAGTTTACATTTGGTTACCAGGACTTTGCGAGTCACGCTTTCTGATAGGAGATCCTTCTTCCAGGAATAGCTAAGAAAGGAGAGCAGTGAGTGGTGGCGAGAGCACCGAGGCCTCCTCATCTGAAGGAGGGAATGTCAGGTGCGGCAAGAACCCCAAGCAGGCAGAGGCCAGCGCCTCACCCCCGGGCTTCCTCACGGGCAAAGCATCAGTCTTTTTGTAGAACAAGCCAGGGAGAGTGAAGGCCATTCCTTTGCTTCAGACCCTCATTGATTTATTTTCTGTCCCTTCTGATGTACTTTCAGCATCAAGAAAGGAAAGAGAGTCCTAAAATCCAACTTCATAATTTTAGACAAAACACAGAGGTGAAGGTGTTTCATGAACCAGAAGCAAAATGAAAGGCAAGTAAGAAGAAGCTGACAGGAAAAGGGAAACCAAGGAAGAGCTCAGCAGGGTTCCCCATCCAGGAGGGATGAGTGGCTCCTGTGGGAGCCAGGATCAGGCCGTCCTTGGGAGAGGAGGACAAATTTCACACAGAACCCGCTGGCTGAAGATGCCTCAGAATGAGCGGAAGATTGGCTCAGCTCCAGCCCATTTGTTTGCAATGGCTTGTCTTCAGCCCTCCAGACAGTGTGTGTGCCTTCTAAGAGATTTCTCTGCTGTAGTTCTCTGGCTTTAAACTCCCACCTGGGTTTAGGGCACTATTTGAGAGTGAGAAAGATAAGAATGCATTTTTCATGCAGTCCTACAGACGTGGAAGTCGCATGACTTACTTGAGGGCTGCTCTGAAGCACAGTGGTGTGCTCTGCAGGAGGTGCAGGTGGACAAGCGTTCGTGATTTCAGAAACAGAGAGGGCAGAGACTTTCACTGTCCTGGGCGGAGGAAACTCGCTGGCTCCCCAAATCCCTGTTGCAATGATTCTGCGCAATGGGAGTTAGGAGTTCTCTTTAAGCAAGTTCTTGCAGCAATGTTTACCTTAGCAAAAGCCTGGAAACCCCGAGGTGCATTTTCCACAGGCAGATGAGACATAGCACAGGTCAGCAAGTAACACCTTTCTCAGTGAGACCAGGATGCAAATGCAAAAGCTGTGGCGCAGTCACACCACAAGCTTGCCAGCGTGCTCCAAAGCTCCTCCTTACTCAGTTGTGATCTTGGCCCTGAAGTACCCAAAAGCCACTCAGCGCTGCGGCCATTCCCCTTCCTGTTCATGACCACTCCCGCAGGCAGAAGTCAAGAATTGGAGGTCAAAATACTATTTTTTTCTTTCCTTTTTCTCCCTTATTCTTTTTCTCTTCTCCATCACCACCTCCCATATTTTTCTTTTTCCATAGACACATCCTACCAACACATATAATTTATATTTTCTATTAAATATATGTTGAGATTTACCTCCAAACCATATTCCAAACTACATTAAGACATTTACCTCCAAACTACATTAAAGCAAGATGATATACCCATTGTTAACGTCAGTGTCCCCAGAGCAGCACGGTGTAGATGAGCACACTTAACACTTAGCTAAATGCAAATATTCAGATATACGTGTTGTGAGCTGAATACTGCGGCCCCCTAAGAAACGCCCAGGGTGAAGCCCTGACCTCTAATGTGCTGCTGGAGCTTGGAAGTAGGATATCAGGGTGCAATTCTGTTGAGACGAAGTGCAGCCTAGCACTCCATGGTGGGATTAGTGTTCATACCAGACTACGATGAGGGACCAGAACTCTTGCTCTTTGCAGCACAGGAGAACACAGGACAAGACGGCCATCCAGGGCCAGGAAGGGGCCCTTGCCAGGAGTACACCTGCAGCACCTTGCTCTTGAGCTCACAACCTCTGGGACTATGGAAATGCATTATTTATTATAAGCCTCTGGTCTATGGCATTTTGTAACAGTAGCCCGAGTGAAGTGAGAACATATATGCACATAAGCTTGGTAGTTTATAGAACGTTTTGTCAGCTGAAGTAAGAGACGAGGGCTCTTGGCTGAGTTGCTTAAGATAAAGGAAGGAGCCAGATGATCTGGAATCAGAAGTGGGAGCAGAATCTGAAATCTCCACTGAGACTAAACAAACTCTCTGTATTTGTTTGACAGCCTTTACATGGGTATGCAATATATGTCTATACTGTTTTAATATTATAGCTCAGTAGTTTAAAAAAAAAAAACCTGTCTCAAATACAGATCAAAATCTAACAAAGCAACATCCTCAGAGCTTCTGTTGCTCACTATTATCACTGATTTTGGGAAAAGCAAGAAATCTGTGACACGACTTCCAACATTTCCTTAAAATAATCACTCCATTCTGTCACGCAGAAGGCAGACATTCAGCGCTCTTCCTCTAGGTGATATCTTCTCATGCCAGAAGGAAAGTGAGACTTACCAGTAGAACCTGTTTGGTACCACTCCTTCCTGGATAAGCTGCCACCTTCTCCCAAATTCAGTAGAGCTGTAGAGCTGCAGAGAAAAGACAAGAATAGCACCGTGGTCCTGCGTGCGGGTCCTGCAAGCCCCATGCATCAGCTGCAATCAGTAGCAAGAATACATGCACACACTGAGCACCTGCCCTGCGGCCCGTGGGAGCCCCATGGGTATCATCCCTGCTCCTCCCACACGTTCTGCAGGGAAGACATTAAATTATTCACTTCACAGTTGAGGAAACTGAGGCTCAGAAAGAGCAACTGAGTTCTGAGAGCCATGTGCTGGGTAAGAGCAGGGCGGCCTGGTGTCCTCACTCGGTCCAGCCCAGTGACAAAGGGGCTGTCCCACACTGCGGGGACACTGCAGGGACTGTTGAGCATACAGTCTAGGCTAGGCCCTGGAGGAGCCCCGGGCCCATCTTGAGCCTGGGTAGACCCTGGAGCGGCAACTCCCAAGGCAGCCACTGTTCCAGGGACGTGGAGGACACCCCTCTGTCTGCCATGTTCCAGGGAGGCTGTGGCCTCTTGGGTCCTAGACACAGGCTGGGATTCAAACTGGCTAAAAGGGCATTACTTGCAGAAGCAAAGGGCAGGGGCCACAGCATTGAGATGGCAGAGACGAGCTGTGGAAGGATCTGGCTGAAGGAAAGAAGTCTGCACGAATCTGCGTGGGGAACTTTGAAGAAGGATGAGCACCTTCCACGTTCCGGGGACTGGGACCCATCCCGCAGGCAACGACAGGACCACCTGGCTTTCGTGCAAGTCCCTGAATGAACCTTGGATTACAAAAGAACAAACTTCTCTGACTAAGCTCTTACTATAATCCGGGTGCTTTGCCTGCACTAGACCACTGACTGTGCACACCATCCTCCTGACATATGAAGACCTGAAGCCCTTGTTTAGATGGCCCCAGGCCGAGTGCAACTTTAAACCCCCTTGTTACACTGCTCCAGCACTTTCCAGTTCAGCTGTTGAGTCACCTTTCTCCAGCAGGGATGGACCCTCCACATCCTCTGTCCTCCAAGTGTCGGGTTCTTCCTACCACCTGCTCTTAGTTTTATCTTCTCTTTCCTGCAGCAACAGTCCTCTTGTAATCCCAGGGCCTTCTGGCTGGGGAAGCATCCTCTGACGGCATCCCTGAGAATACGGTTGCTTTTGGGGCTGCACTTTGAGGGCATTTTGATTCTGACCTGAGCACTCCAATTTGGGACATCTCCCTTCCACTGTGCGCCTGGCTTCTGGTCTTCCCAGCCCTCCACTCCAGCTCCTCGCTCGCTTACCACCCCGCCCCAGCACCCCAACCCTCCTGACACCACCCCTCCCCGCCCCACCACACCACATATGGACAAGTAAGGCGTGCTGCCCTGAGGTACAATGACTGGCCCTCCTTCTCCGACCTCTGCAGCCACAATACTCAAAGGAGGGGGTCCAAGGACACCCCAAGCCTGTGCACACACAAGGCCTGTCCCAGGACTGATGCGTTGCAGGTCCTTACAGACCCCCGAAACCACTGGCTGTGGCACTGTGTCCTTTTAATGAAAACATCCTGGAACCCAAGAATGAGGAAGTGTCTCGCTACTAAGCCAGTAACTTGACTGGCTCTGAGCACAGTGGAGAGCAGAGTGGGCCACTGGCACGTGGGGACCTGCGGGCGGGCTGGAGTCACTGGAGGCATGGCCTCCAAAGACGCCTGTGGGCTCCAGCCCCCTCCGGCTCCAGTCCTCTCTCCAGCTTTCAAGCCAGCACGTGAGCGGATTTGCTCTTCGCGCCCTCCTACGATAATCACTCCCTCACTACCGGCTCAAAACAACCACACAAACTGACCACAAACTGGAACTTTTAAAAAAAGGAACTGATTCTCAGTGGAACACCTGAGGTATTTTGTCATAATGACAGGAAACTGATAACACCCTTCGTGCCAGCGGGAGGAAAGGTTTCCTGGGTATACTTCATATCTGACATACTTGAATAATTCCAGGGAAAGATGAGGAGACAGCTCCTTGCACACAGATAAAAGAGGGAGGACTCCCCTGCCTGACTCCACAGCTGAGGAGCCTGCATGAGTCCACCATGTTCTCATTTTCCCACGTGTCCTGACCACCTTGCAGTTTTACAATGATGCCTTGTATACTTGCAGCAAGTCATTGACCTACTTCCCTACTTGTTCTATTTGTTTTTAAAGCCCAGAGGTAGCCTTCTGTGAGCTTAGTGTGACGAGAGGGCCTAGCACTGCAGTGCGCCCACATCTACGTGCAAGGGGCCACTAGCGTCAGCGTGCATATCCACAGACTCACGCAAAGCTAGCAGAGTCAAGATGGCCCAAGACAACCATGCTGTGCGTGCAGGCTAGACTCGGGGGAGTCCTGCGAGCTCCGCACATAAGCTCCAAGGAATCACCTGGCTGCGCTAAGGGGCTCCTTGCCTGCTCCAGTGCAGAAGCCGTCTCTGCGAAGGACTGCTGGGTGCCAGCATTGCTGTTCTTCATTTTTTGTCTGACTGCTGAAATTTGTCCCCAGGCTTTGACTCAGAGCCTGTGGACGAGTCAGGTACATCCCGTGGTGTTTGTTCACATCTTCACGTGGCTGCTCTGCTATGTGTGAGCATCTAGACGCGAAGCAACCCAGTAAGCCAAGTTTCTCTTATTCTAGCCAGTGAAACATTTTTTATTTCATCTCAGGAAAGTTAGCTCTGGTCTTAGAGGATGGGCTCTGGCACCTTCCCATCCCAGCCTGGGAACAGTCCCTCCGCGGGGCCTTCACCAGGGCTACCTGCCCGGGCAGAGGTTGCTTCAAGGCTGATTTTTGTGCTGAGACGAGCTTCGAAGGCCGCCTTCCTACAACCTTTCTTCTGTCCACTATGAGTGCCATCAGCCTCACCTACACACACCTATAACATAACAGCAGATGCCATCAAACTACAGCATATAGTCTTGCATCCATTTTCAGTCATCTTTCAGGATAGACCTGCAATCCTGCAAGTCGACAATCTCTCCTGATATAAAATATCTCAAAAGTACATGTGCATACTCCTTTACTCTTTAGTATGACTGCAAAGCTTTTAGATATCTTTATTCCCATCCTTCTAGCATACCTATAGATTTCTACAACCAACCTAGTAACATTAGAAAAGAAAAAAAATGTATTGATGTTGCACCAAGCAAATCTCTTACTCATTAACCTACATGATAAGAAACTCAGGTTTGCCAGAAAGAAAATCATAGCAAGCTATTAGAGGAATGCGTGTTGCTTCCGTGGATTCATAGCTAGAAGCCCATGTCTTAAAATAAAGCATATGAATATCAACACATTTGAAAGTCCTGAGCACTTGCAAGTGGGGGCTTTCAAATTCACCGCAAATGTGCTACACATCCAGCCTACTCCTTCAAATCCTTCCCACCAAGAAGGTAAATGTCCACTCTGGTGCTACGCTACACAGGGAGCAAAGAACTCTCAGCCATTCACATTAATGTGTCAATTAAACCTGCAGTGTCTGACAGCAAAGGCCTCTTCCTCAAAGCATTTCACAAAGGGTTCCATCTCAGCTGCGACTGGAAGGTTTTCCACGTAGATGAACTCAATGTCCTTTAATAAAATTCATCATGTTGGCAGCATCTAAAGAAGATTTATCTCCCTCCCCATCTATCTCCAGCTCCAAGGTTGCTTTTGATTGCCAGAACCCAGAACGGACACAGGAGAAAGCAGCTACCCCTCCTCTGAGGTGCCAAGTCTAGGGAAGAAGCAGAGACCAGCGAGAGAAAGAATCCACACTGGGCCTGGCTTTAGGAGAGCTCCGTTCATCTACTAATCCTTTGCCTGCACCCAAACTGTCATTCTTACAGCACATTGGCATTTATTCTACTGACTCTGGTATAAAATACAGGAAAAATGAACAGAAGGAGCAAGCATTGTAAAGGGAATGGGAAAGAATTCTGATTAAGCATGCAAGGCAGAACATCTTCCCTGTGCCAAGTCATGTGGTGCCACCTGAGAACCCGTTCCCTGCCTGAGGCAATACAATGCAGCCAGCACAGACGCAGGATTCCTCTCAGCTCAAGGGCTACCAGCAGCATCTGGACTAACCCTCCGCATGCATGTGGTCATTATGGTGGCCTACCGGGGGTCGTCAACACTTATCACTTATCTTTCCTACCACTTTTCTTTTCAGGGAGTTTAGAAATAGTCCCTTCTCTCTCTTCTCTCTGCCTCTGTCTCTCTGTCTCTCTGTCTCTGTCTGTCTGTCTGTCTGTCTGTCTGTCTGTCTGTCTGTCTCTCTCTCTCTCTGCTTGTTGCAGGGTCTCACTACACAGCTCAAACTCATGGTGATGATCCTCCTGCTTTCAGTCTCCCCAGTGCTGAGATTACAGGCATTTGCCACTATGCCCAGACTCTGGTGGGCTCGCTGGCCCTGGGGGCGGGGCTGGCAAGATATGTGGTGCCTGGGATCAAACCTTGGTCCCTGAGCTTGCCTAAGCTTGTCTAAGCAGGCACTTTAGTCTGCTAAGCTATCTCGCCAGCCCCATCTCACTTTGGCTTAGTTTTTCATCATCTACCTTTGTGGATTACAAGACGAGTGTAGATAAAAATGCGCTTCTTGGGAAAGAATATCAGTCCAAGTCTTAGTTTTGTTGTGAGCTGGCCTCCAACTCTTCATGCCTCTCTGGCACTCTCCTCAGGTAGCCAGTGAAACTGCAAGTGGGTCCATGGGTGTGAATTAAGGGGTAATAAAGAGAAAGTCAAAGGGGGACGGATCAGCTTGGATCAAGAAAAAGAATAATATTCATTGACCCTACTCTGGATTCCTAATCCACAGCAGATTAAGGCAGAGCAAAAGAAAGGGAGTCTCAGAACATACCATCCTTTTCTACCTTCTGACTGTGCATGTACTGGTTAAATTCCTGGGAGACAGGCATCTTTCTACTGGTAGAAGAAAAATTCAACCTCCTCATGTAGGTGCACAAGCCTGCACTTGTCACTGTCCCTGAAAAGTCTCTCAGTATTCCTCAATCAGATGAGGGCATCTTCCCTTTTTTGGAAGTTA